GCCCGGTCCCCAAGTCCCGCGGGAGCCGCGGCCTCAGCACCCTCCCCACGTGGCGCTGGCTGTTCCTTCACCGCATCTCAAGAATCCTCCGCTACCGGCTGGGGGGGGGGCCCCCCCCCCCCCCCCCCCGCGCGGGGGGCCCCAGCCGCTGAGCTGGGGCTCCCCCGCCAGCCCTTCTGCCCACAGCTGGTGATCCGCACATCCACAGCCCGCCCTGTCCACTTGCCCCAGCCCCGCCAGAGCCGACCACGCCGCGGCCACGCAAGGAGCCGGGCTAAGAGAAACCGAGCAACTTGTTTCACGGACCGGCACGTCGGTGGGAGCCTGTCACAGAAGCAGGCTGGCGAGCGGACAGAGACTTGCAGGTCACCAGTTGGGTCTGCTACAGCCGGGACAGCCCACCGGACCGTGTCCTCACTGCGTGAAACCAGCCTCACTTTGCCCTCATGGCATCCCAGTGTGGCTGAGGCCGAAAGGCACCTCCGGAGGTCCTCCTGTCCAACCCCGCCTGCTCAAGCAGGGCCACCCAGAGCCCATCGCCCCAGACTGTGTCTGGACGTTTTCTGAGTATCTCTGAGAAGGGACACTGCGCAACCTCCCCGGGCAACCTACTCCACTGCTCAGCCACCCTCCGCAGAGAGCACAGCCCTGTAAAATCCCATGCGCAGCCCCAGATTTTGTACCTGAAGTTACGTTTCTGTCCCTGCTCTTTCCATGAAAACACCTAAGAAATGCGATTTGAATGTCGCTGGTGCCTGAGCGCTGCCTGAGCCTGCAGCGTGCCTGAAACGACAGCTCAAGAAGCCCAAATAATCCCCTACAAAAGGCGGATCAAAGGCATGCGCTGAACGGAGGGGCGATGTGGGCCACCAGCCCTGCACCAGGTGTGCCTGCCGTCCACCAGCGCCCAGCATCCACCAGCGGGTGCCTCCCACCTTCCTTCCGTCTACCCACCCTGGACCAAAAACCCCCTGCACTGCGCAGGGACGACCTGTGAGCCCTGCCCACAGTCCTGCCTGCCCCGGCAGCGCCGACACAGAGCTCGCAGTGCCGCGGTGCCCTGCAGCCCCGAGCTGCCACGGCCCCTGCCGCGGGGCAGGAGGGGCAG